GCTGAGTGGGGGAAACCCTGAGGAGCCAGGGGCAGGGAGCCCCCTGGGCCGGAGCCAGCCTTGCCGGAAGGTGCTCCCAGACCGGTCACGGGCAGCGCGGGACCGTGCCAACCAGAAGCTGGTGGAGTATATCGTGAAGGCCAAGGGCGCCGAGAACCACCTGCGTGCCATCCTGAGGAGGAGGAAGCCGTCCCGGTGGCTGAAAACGTTCCTGAGCTCAGGCCCGTACGTGACGTGTGTGGAGACATACCTGGAGGACGAGGAGCAGCTGGACCTGGTGGTGAAGTACCTGCAGGGCATCTACCAGGAGACCAACAGCACCGTGCTGACGCGCGTCAACGGCGACCGCATCCGCTTCATCCTGGACGTGCTGCTGCCCGAGGTGGGGAGTGTGGATGGGGGGGGCAGCTGCCCAGTCTGTGCTATGGGGGCCCCTTCCCCAGAGGGTCTGTTTTGGTGCTGGAATGTCATTCCCCAAAACCCTGGCACCCAGGCCTCTTCCCGCCTCTGCCCCCAGGCTGTCCAGTCTATGGGGTTAGAGCTCACCACAAGCGGGAGGCCGCAAAGGCTGCCACTTCATCCAGGTGTGGAGTGATCCTGAGCTTAAGGAGCCCTGCCTGGTGGCGCAGTGGTTAAGCGCTTGGTTGCTGACGGAAAGGTCAGCGGTTGGAACCTACCAGCTGCTCCATGGGAGAAAGGCCTGGCAATCTGCTCCCATAAAGATTACGTCTAAGAAACCCCATGGGGCAGTTCTCTGTCACACGAGGTCACTGTGAGTCAGAATCCGCTCGACGGCACCTATGACAACAAACCCAAATGGAGCTATGAGGTCGGGACGTGGCCGCAGCAGCCAGCTCTGAGCTGATGGCCTGGAAGTCCATGGGCTTCGGGGGAGGGGACCGTTGGCACGTTTATGTCTGCTGAAAAGACAGCATCAAACTCAAAGTGCTTTAACTCAGTAATTGTGGGAAACTTTACATCTAGACGAACATGAGACGGTGGCCCTCTGTGCCTGTCAGCCAGCAGGAGAAGGCTCTCCTTCTCGCTGTGAAGCTCCTGTTCCCCTCCCCCCACTGTTTTGGACAAAAAGAAAAAAAAACTCAAGCTTATTTTTGAATCCATAAATATTTCAGTGTGTCTCTCTGAAACTGGGGTTCTCCTTGGGGTGATCCTGCCCCCAGGGCATGCTGCAGGATGTGTGGGGACATTTGTGGTTGTCACGACTTGGGGGTGGGGTGCGCTACTGGCATCGAGTGGGTAGAGGCCAGGGATGCTGCTCACCACCCTATGTTGCA